ATCATTTTAGTTGCCCTTTTCTGAACCCTTTCCAAGGCCAAAATATCTTTTCTGGGGTGAGGAGATCACATCTGTACACAGTACTGAAGATATGGCGTACCATAGTTTGATACTTCCCCTCCTCCTTGTTCCCCTGGCTTCCCCCTTCCAGCTCCCTCCTCCCAGGTTTCCCCCTCCCCTCTCCCACCCTCTCTCTTCCCCTCTCCCACCTCCTTTTCCCAGTCTCCCCCAGTTTTGTGAAATAAAGAGAGTTTTATTTTTGACCACACGTGTCCTTTATTTTGTACATCAGGAAGGGGGGCTAGGGACGGGTAAGTGGAAGGGTGTGAGGGAGGAATGGGGTACAAGCCCCCAGTGGGGAGGACTGGGGTGGCTCTGTGGTCTCCTCGGGGTGGAAGCTTTCCTGTAGTCCACCGATTGTCCTGACAGCCCCCGATTGACACCCCCCTCCGGATGGCAGCCTGCAGCAAGGGCAGCCGGGCTGATGGCCGAGTGCTGTGATATGCCGAGTAGGGGCACTCAGGGCACTCCAAGACAGGACTGCTTTGCTGTCCCTCATCAAGGTAGACTAGCAAGCGGGGAATTCTGAGAACTGTCTGTCCGGGGTGGGGGTCGGGTCCCTTTAAGCACAGCCCTCGGCTAGGCAGCAGCTCCACACTCTTAAGTCCTAACCTGATGCCCTGCTGGCACCTGTTCTGGCCAGCCTTAACTTCTGTTCAGGGTCCACTCTTCGAATTAGCTTAGTTCGAATTAACTAATTTGAACGAAGTTAGTTCGAATTAGCGCTGTAGTGTAGACATACCCTAGTACAGCAGCCTTGGGTCCTGACTGGTGCCAAACCAGAGAATTTGCTGAACCACAGGAGGTCAGTATTGTCTATCAGCATTACCAACACTTCCACTGCTTACTGGGCTTTCAGAAGACATTTAGAGGTAAATTAGAGCTAAGTAACAGCACAAAACAGAGCCAGGGCTGGTGGTTGTTTACAAACTTTATAGGTCTGCTGGAAACTTGGCCAGGACATCTGGCTAAGTAAAATCCTGGCAGACCATGGCTGTAGCTGAACCAGAGATTGAACTAGAGAGGTTCAATCTGTAACATCAGTCATACAGTAAATAGCATTTAGTGCAATGCATGGCTGCCACCATGTGGGGTGTGGCTGGATCAGATGTTTAAAGATTAAGGAAAACAATGAGGGGCCTAAGCAGACTTGTCATAGCGGCTCTATGTTGCTTTAATGCAATCAGTCTCATTAACAAACAGGAGCTGATCTGGTCAATGCAATTTATATCTTGCCTGTAGTTAACAAAATAGTTCATAGATACTGGCAGCACGGCCCTCTGGTGGACAGATGATCAGAACTGTCCAAGTGCATGTTATAACAACTTCTAATTCCCTCTGATTGTAATAATGAAGTCTGAGGTGATCCTTATGTGTAGATTCAGGGCCAAATAATGGAGTTATGCCAGTAAAAAATTTGGATCAATCTGACAATGTGAAATCCTGATTGGTCAAGAAGTGCCACAAGAAACTTTTCTATAGTGAACGTTTCACACATTTGTGAAATCATGAGGAACAGTGTTATAGGCAAACTCACTTTCTAGTTCACTTGTCTAATTCTAGAGTTATTTTAATTTTCCTGACCTTCCATCTTAGAAATGCCGTCAGAAAGAAATGGAAACAGGGCTAAGGTTTGTTGCAGTTGTTACTTTTACTCTTCCCTACATCTTTCCTAGACATTGGAGTAACTGAGCAACATGATTAAATATTGGTTCCAATCCCAGCTGTGGGGGAGAGGGTACTTCTATGGAAAAAAAGCCCCATTTAGACTCAGGGACAAAGCTGTCTCATTCGTAGGACAAAGTGGGATGGCTGCTCCAGGCCTCGAAATTTGGGAGGCCTCATGATGGACGCCCCAACCGTCCTATGGACAGGAGAGACCCCAGGGGATTACGGGGCCTGGCATGGGATGGCAGCATGGGTTCTCCCCCACACTCACCTCTCTTGACTGGTTATGCTCTGCTTCTCTGTGGCAGAGGGATAGGGAGTGCCCCAGCCTGAAAGTGACCCGCTTCTCACCACCGTGGAGTAGCAGGGTGCAGTGGGCAGGGCGTGTGGTGCAGCAGAGTGGAACAGGCCACCGGATAGCTC